AAAATATTTGATTGTTTTAGAGACATGTGACATCAAATAAGTTTCTTTGTACAGCTGCAGACGACTGAGATATTGTTCCTTTGTGTGGATATTCACGGATACATCCTTGAGCAAAGAAGCTGCCTTAAATTCATACACATAAATTTGGTAGGTTATAATTATTGTATTTGCATTTTGTTTTCCTTCATTTGCTGTAACATTGAACCGATTCGTTTTTGTTCCTCTGTGTCTTGATTGGGAAATTCTGCATGAAATGTGCAATAGACGTTGTTTTCACAAGTCTTTTCCTTTGTAAGCGTGTATATATTACCGTCAATATGTAATATGTGATTTTTTCAGGCAATTTATGAAATGTGTAAATATTTCAGTCATTTTGACTGAAAAACCTGTCCAGATTGACAAAAATTGATTAAGACGATCAAAAGGGCCTAAACACATCACAACAGATTATTATGTAGAATTCGAAGCCAAACAACACAGAAATGTACTTTTCAACATAACATTTTCTGTCTTTTGGTGATGACATTAAACATCGAAATGTTTGGAATTCGTTATCATAATAATACAGATTGAAATGTTTTTCAGTCATTTTGTAAAATAACTGAATATTTAGGCATTTAATAAAATTGAAAATGTTACACATTTTGACAGTAACAAAATATACACACTATAAAAAAAACAATGCTCAGGTGAAATATTTACTTTGTGTTGCAAGTCAAAATAGTGTAAACGAAAATCGCAAAATAACCAAGCAAGTGACTTATCAAAACTTCGTCACTATTACCGATGCTACCCACAAAGATACCTACATTTTCTTATTATCTCGAAAAGTCTATTTTATTTTGTTGATCAATGTGACCATACGCCCTTATTACTACCCATAAAAGTGACTAATGCGCTTACGAATGGCGCAGCAGAGATCGCGAACTAGTCTAGATTTCTGCACTGGGAAAAAAACAGTAACAGAGGCAACAACCAGTCCCGGGGAAATGCTTGAGATCAGTGCCTCTTTAAATAAACACTAAGCAAGCATCTTACTGTTCTACAATATAGACCAACCGAGCATCTTACTACTCTACAATATAGACCAAGCCAGCATCTTACTTTTCTACAATATACACCAAGCGAGCATCTAATTATTCTACAATATACACCAAGCGAGCATCTGACTATTCCACAAAATATATACCAAGCGAGCATCTTACTACTCTACAAGATACACAAAGCGAACCTCTTACTATTCTTCAATAAACACCACAAGCAATGAGTGAGTGAGTGAGTGAGTTAATGCTTTTCGTCACATCGGCAATATTTCAGCCATATCATGACGATTCTCTCATAAAAAAGAACAAGACGTCTGTGAAAGGCATTTAAAAGTGATACCCATATGGAAGAACCTTTATGAATGTCAACTTCTTTATTATGAGGAACACAACGTTTCGGAGTATATGCTTACTCTTCATCAGTATTTAGAAGTGATATACATGAGTAAGAAAATTAAGGAGTAAGCATATATTCCGAAACGTTGTGTTCGTCATGATGAAGAAGTTGACATCTATACATTCTCTTCCTTAAACAAGAATATGGTAATACATACTGTGTTATGTCCCCTTCCTTTTCCAACTCAAGGTGACGTGGACTCTTGACTTCCCGATAAATACGCAAATGCATCTTAAGTTCTCCAAATTGGTTACTCATTTTGTATACAAATATGCAGGACATACTGTCATCTGTCAGACAAGGTCCCGTGTCAATTGTTGTCCATGAAAGATGTTTTTTTATCGGTAGGAGGACGTTATCCCATTGCACTTGTTCCTCCAGTAAATTTCCATTGAGCATGAAAAGTTTGATGACGTAATCCGGCCAATATCCACTTAGAATGTAGAATTCATTAGCAAACGAGGGGCTCCAAGTCAACGATATCATCATTATAGCAGGTCCTTGAATCTTAGTTGTGGTCCAGTTGTTTGATAAATCTGTAATGTAAGGCATTTACCGATGTAATATGCTTGGAAAACACGGGCATACGGTTATTTGTATGGGTGGGGGTTTGGTTGAGTTGGGTAGGGGAAAGTGTAGAGGGCAGCTGTGGGTGTTGGTGCCAATTCGCAATTCGCTTTGCAGAGTTGACGTTCGCCAGACACCTATGACTTTTGGATAAAATCCTAGATTCTTCCTGATCAGATTTTTAGGTTTGCTAGTTTTGACAGCACCAAAGCCCTGGTCGTGTGTTCCGTCAAAGTGGTAAACGTCCAGTATCTGTATCAATTTGAAATTTCCTTTCACATTAACCTGATACACAAACAAAATACTGATCTTAGTTGGGCTTTCATCAAACTGACTCACACTGCAAACACGATACCGTCGTTTTCTTACGAATACCTGCATTGGACGCGTTCTAAGCGACGGCTGAGCTGCGGAAAGAAGTAAATATCTGACATCCAAATTTACTCTGAGAGGATGATGACATCTAGCAATTGCTTGTTCTGGATTGACCTTGTCAAGAAAGGTTAGTGAGTGAGTGAGTGAGTGAGTGAGTTGGGTTTAACACAGTTTTTAACAGTATTCCAGTTATATCGCGGCATGTCAGCTTAATGTTGGAGGAAAACCCGAAGTGATACAGGTCTCACACGTTTACCACTTCGGTGAAACCCACGAGCACGGGTATGGTGCTGACAAACCTAGAAACATAATCGGGGTGAACCGGGATTCGAACCCACACTCATAGGTTTCTGGCGTGCCCAAGGGACGCAACTCTGCACAGCGAATCGCGGCACCGACTAGGCCACCCGTGCCCCCAAAGGAAGGTTAAGGCTAACGGATGTTTGTCCATGTGGTAGTGTAATACTACATTCTATTCCGCATGGTTTATTGCAGATGTAATAGGTACATTTGAGCTAAATCACTGGTAGCACTGTAACAGTTGTACTCATCCTTCTGGTAGCTTTAAATGTAAAGAGTGTGTGCTCTGTCCGGAGTATGACGTCCGGCTTTTTGACGTTTGTTAGACAACGGAGAGAACCCCAGTATTGTGTATGCATAATCTGACAATATGCGCTCCAAAAACTAATGATCGCTATCCAAATCGGATCGATGCCTATTTGTTTACACGTGAACAATCCCCTACGGCGACGTTCGGCCCCAAGAGCGTCACAAGGTGGTGGAGGTGCAAACTTTTCAATATGTACCAGTGTGTACGAGCGTTTAATTCACGATGCAACTACATTGACCTACTTAACCATCATGCCTCCAAAGAAATCACACTGACAGCGCTACTCAGTGATGATGATTTTGACATTTCCTCCCCAGAACATAACATTGGCATGAGGAGGCGATGGCTCGTATGATCCTGAATTGTTGCTGGATACATTTGAAGCCTATACAAAGTTTCCATGCCTTTCTCACGGGACGCTCCGAATGTTTTTCGACTCGTATGAATGATTAAAGGGAGGGCAGTTCAGTGGTTAAAGTCTCTTACGAATGAAGGCAAGAGCAATGAGCTCTTCCTCAGTAACATTTTTTACTGAAAGACATTGAGACTCAATTTGACCTTCAACATCAGTTGCGACAATTCGAAAGGGCTGTCCAGAAAATAAACCACTTATGATGGCCCTAGGCAGAATGTTAGGTAACAAAGAAAATACGGCTTATGAAACTGATTGAAATTAGGTCACTGTGATTTGTAACCACTGCTCATATATGTGTATTCAAATGATATATAATTACATGCTTCATATTACTTCACAAATATCTCAAATATTGTCATTTTAGTGATAATGAAAGAAATGCTTTGTGAATGACTTTCACTATTTCCTTGACTTCACACTTCAACCCTTCAGGAGTTATCACTTTTGAATTTACCTTCAATATCAGTGACAAATATTTCAACCCAAAAAATTAAAGATCTATCCAGCACATCTATGATGTCCTTTGATGGAATTCAAAGTAACATTGACACAAATATGAGTGAATGAGTTGGGTTCAACGCCGCTTTCAACAGTAGTCCAGTTTTATCACGTGTGTCAGCTTAATGTGGGAAGAAAGCCCGACGTGATGCAGGTCTCGGACGTTTACCACTTAGGTGAAACCCACGAGCACGGGTATGGTGCTGACAAACTTGGAAAGCACCTACGGATCACGCTCACCAGATCAAACCTCCTGTTCCCTCCATATTGCCATGAAAGAAAAGGAATGTTTCCCTGCTGCATTGTGTTAGTAGAATCGTGAACGTTCCATTTGGCATTTGGGTCTTTTCAAGTGTTTACCACATGGTCCAAAACAACAATGTCTTTAAGGGTGACTCTCCAGCTTGGCATCCGTTGGTCTTCTCACATTAGCCAGGCCAGCCTTTGTGAGTGTATCTAAGTACAACTTGACATACAACTTCTGTTTATGTTTACATTCATGTTTCAAAATGAAGCCCTCGACCGTAGAGGGAATTATAGGTAAAATGACTTGTCCCGGAAAAACACGAGTTTTTTTTACGAATGACTCTGAACACGATCGGTCATTTCTGCAGCATTACAGTTTATTTGAGTCCATTGTGTGTGTGTGTGTGTGTGTGTGTGTGTGTGTGTGTGTGTGTGTGTTAGGACGTATCAATACGTCGTTGTTTGGAATATATTTTTGCCTAGCATGCCAAGCGATTAGGCAGTGTGACAAGGGATATCTAACCGGACGTGATATTCATACAGCAGAAACGTTTCACAACCTCGTCAAAATTGGCAAAATATTGAGATTTCAGCTGAGGTCATGCAGGGAGCTTAAATGACATATTCAGGTGAGGAGTACGTAAATATTAATGATCAGGTATTGGAGTAATTTACCACATGTAGGTTACTCACGTATGACATTTACTATATTATGTAAGAACATCTGTGATTTTTTTTTTTATAGGACAAGTAGCCTATCTATCATATGTTAATCCGTACTGATGTATATGATCTAGAAATATGTTTTACTTTTATTCCTTTAATGAGATAATCTGTATGGTAATCCCAGATAGCATTCAGACGTTGGCCCAACGTCGGCAATGGTTGGCAGTGTCGCGGTCGGATTTTATACGTTGGCCCAACGTTGTTACAACGTTAGGTCGCATTTCGGAAATTATTTCCAAGGGGCGCTACTCGTAATTGACAACTTCACAGAGAGGGCGCTGCGTTTTTTGCGCCTCTCAACGAGCAGACGACGAGACACAAGCACACGTTCGATCATCGGAATACCGTTTTCCTCGAATATATAGAGGTAAGTGTTTAATCATTATCTAATATGATGTACAAACAGTACCCGAGAATAAAACAACCATTGTTCATTCAGAAATATCAACACGAGTAATTATTTTCCAGAAATTGAAAACACCACAAACTTCATCAAGTTCATGACCCGAAGCCAAATAGGAATATATGTCACTCTGATTGCTTGCAAATATATAGCTTGCTATTACTAGCATACCCCCCAAAAAGTCGCGCTTGTCCGTATCATAAAGTTTGTCGTTATCGTGAGGACAAGTTAGTGCAAAGAAATGTGCACCGTGTCGCGTAAGTGCAGTTGCAGTGTCGATCTCAGCTGTTTCTAACAGTTGGTGGTCATCGGACAGCGAGCGACCACATGACTACCTAAACAAACACTGACTGTGGTATTTGTAAATGAATACTGGTTGTTTCTATTCTCGTGGAAGTTTAAAAATAACAAGCAAACTCAACTGAAAAGGTCAATTTCGTTCTCGCTTGTGCAATTTTACGGTCAAAAAGATCAACTAAACTGAACAATTCAGAACGAGGCTTCCAAAACTCAAAGCATTCCGTGTACATGATAAAATAATACCATGCAGACTCCTACTGATCAGTGTACGGAGCTTTTCCCTGTTGTCGGCAACATCGCGAGTTCAGTTTTCGATCACAAATCAGTGGCCGTGGGATTGCGTTTGTTGTTATTTGAAAGGGATTGATAATGGCATAATCGCTTTTTTATTTGTGCATACCGCGGGGGAGTAATGGTTAGAACGAAGGGAACGTATTGGATTAGATTGGGTACGAAATAGTCATGAAATCATTTCCGATTGAGAATAATATATTTCAATAAATATTTACAGAGCTGTTTCAGCTTCATCTTGTGTTGTCTCCGATATCGCATTTTGTTAATTTTTCCAACGTTACTATCTTTGTAAATGTTAGAACTTAGATATAATGGCATATTTATATGGAAAATATTCATATTTATATTTTTAAAATAAAATAGAATCTAAAATCACGATTTTAATTTAATACCAGTGTTAACACTTCTATTACTTATTGGAAGGTCAATTCATAATCTTATTCAACATTCATGCTTCCAACATTGGAACTCTTTATTTGGCAATATATATTTTTCATTTATTTGTTTATTTTTCACATCAGATTTTAGAAACTTTGCCAACATATGCATGCTATTTTGCATTATTTTTTACTTGATCACAAGTTTGTGAGGTACAGCAGAAACGTAAAGTTATTGCTTTTGAATAATTACAGTTGATTTCTATTGGCTGATAAAACTATTTGCCAAATATAACCACTCACATCATACTGTTAGTAAATCAGATTTATCGCTACTGATTTATTTGAGAATGTTATACTTTGAGGTTTCTATTTTTCTTTCAGGTGGAGTTTACAGTATTGTGGAAGCATATTTGTTTACATCACATCACAGCCAGAAAGGTATACATGATGCAATAAATAATATATTCAAACATCTTCAATAATGGAAATTTAGATGATTCTTATTTAATTACACCCTCAATCTAAAAGGGCGGGTGATCAAGTTTATCTGTCCGTCCTTCCTTCCAAAGACATTTTTTTTGTGTGAGTGCAGTTCAAAGTTTGATTTTGATATGTATATTTTCGGAAAAATAAGATTCTTTAAATGTTTTTAACTTCAAATATTTCTTTTTATGTCAACCTTTGTGCGACCTATCACTTGAACACTACTTCATGGATTCTTTTCCAATTATGGGTACAGTTTCTACACCCACAGGAGAGGTGCAGTGCAAAGTTTGGTTTTGATTAGTGTATTTTCTAAGAAAAAATAGCTTTTGTTATGATTTGAACTTAAAATATTTTTTATTTCAACAATTGTGCTACCTATAACTTGAGATCTACTAGAGAACATGGATTCTGTCCAAATTTAACGAACACTTTTATATTAAAAAATGGGATGCACAGCAAAGGTTGATTTTGATATGTGTATTTTATTAAACAATATAATTTTTGTACATGTTTTGAACTTAAAATGTTTGTTTTTTAATTTAACATTGTGCGACCTTTAACTGCATGGATTCTTTCCAAATTTAAGAAACACTTTCTATGCTAATAAAAGAGGTACAGTGAAAATGTTGATTTTGATATGTGCATTTTCAGAAAAAATATGATTTGTTTCATGTTTTGAACTTAAAATTATTTTCTTCAACATTTGTGAGACCTATAACTTGATGTGCAGTGCAAAGTTTGATATTGATAATTATGCTTTTTCTATGTTTTAAACTTTGAAAAATGAATGAGTCGTTACTGTTGTTTATTTAGTGTTAATAGCTTTTCTGCCTATCTATGATTCAAGAGCATCATGGTATTACTGTCTATGCTACCTTCCCAGTTTTAGCAGTTTTTTAACAGTTTTATGACTTGGATGGGTGGAGGTAGCACTGCTGAAACCTTTTTTTCATACATCAAATTATTATTTAGGGGAAGGCAACCATTTTGTATGTAAAAAATGTCCCTTGCCTTATCATTATTATAATTGTGTCATTGTTTTATTCAGTTACCAAGGCACACAGAGAGACCGTGGATACAGTTGAAGATCATCCCTGTGATAAGTTCTTCTGACATCTGAGGATTGAAAAGGCTCCTCAACCACTCAGCCCAAGTTCTGATTTGTCATGTAACAAATAAATAAAGGTCACCGAAACCAGAATTCTATTGTCATTTTGTTGCTGTTATCATATTTTTTAATAGATCAAGTATATTGATCATAGGACATCCGATGCATGGACGATTTTGCTTGTCTCAGTGTTGCCCTAATGCTGAATGTATGGGGTAAGGCCAAGAAAAATTAAACGTTTCAATTTGTGGCAGGCTTATTGTCTGATGGTTTTTAATTTGCAAACTTGTGTGAAAATCATTTATCTTTTAATAGTGTTGAAACATTTGTGAACAAATTGCACATAGTCTTGAAAATGGTTTTGGAAAGTAAATATTATAGCACCAAATTGCACGTGTAATTTAAAACATTTTGAATTTTTTCTTGGCCCTATTTCAAACTATGTATGCCGAGGTACCCTTCCAGAAGAGAGCGCATTTAATTGGCATGTTCTTTCATGGAATGAGTTCAGAGTGAATCTAACTTGCAGAATGTATTCCTTGTTACCTGATGTCTTAACTACCTTGGTACAAACATTTCAGGCTGCCTGGGAGGTATAGTGAGGAATAAAACAGACGTAATCCAACGTTGGCCATCAACGTTGGGCCAATGTTGGCTATCAACGTTGGCCCAACGTCATTTTGACCGGCGGCCCAACGTTGGGCCAACGTTGGCTGAACATCGTTGTCCCAACGTTGGGTAAACGTTGGCCAAACGTTGGCAAAGAAACGTTGGCCCAACGTTGGGTCAACGTTGGACCAACGATGTTCGGCCAACGTTGGCCCAACGTTGGGCCGCCGGTCAAAATGACGTTGGGCCAACGTTGATAGCCAACGTTGGCCCAACGTAAGTGATAACGTTGGCCCAACGTTGGCCCAACGTCTGACTGCTATCTGGGATGTGACTAATTTTCTTATTTCATACCATGCCGACACATCAATCCGTTGTACTCACCAACCAGTTAGATAGATTGACAGCCTAAACTCACTTTTGAAAATGTGAAGAATCAAGAACAAATTTAATGACAGGGAGGTTTTGTTACAGTGAGCATAGTTAAGTGGAAGATAAGTCATTTTAAAGGTATGGACATTTTCACTTGAACGTGTTTAACAATAACCATGACAAGTTTATCATGTTGGAATTTGGGCGGTGGGATAGCCTCGTGGTTGAAGCTTCATGCCATAGAGAAGGGTTCGATTCCTTTCATTGGTACAATGTCCCTCCCAGTGATATTACTGGAATATTGCTAAAAGTGGTGTAAAACCATACCCACTCGTGTGGGGACTCCAGATTGGAATTGGTCCCCATCAACCTACGCTAGTTGTAAGAGATAATTTATTGGATCGGGTGATCAGGCTCGGTGACTTGGTTCATGGCATGCCATCGTACCTGACAGAGTGGATCGTTGCTCACAATATCAAGCACTGGTTTGTCGAGAAAATTTGGTTACCTTAAGAATACAGTATCACAAACTTGTCAAACAGGTCACAATACCCTATGACGTAATTTGTAGTATTGTATTGCCTGACACACTGGCAAAACACCCTGTGACTTCAGGGGTCATCGAGTGTGCATATGCTCTTCTCGGTGATCTATAATCTCCACACGGAATGTCGTTGAATAAGCCCAGCGATGTTGAGAGTTTTGAATGTTTGCTTACTAAACATTGCCTGTAGCGGCGCAATTGATAGCAAACGCTGGTTTATGAAAGCACTTTTATTTTCAATGGTTTTTTTTCATATGTTTTCTTAATCCAAGTGGCTAAAATGATTATAAACGGGAACTTATAATGTGCACTAGGCAGTCATTTGAATAGTTTCACATGGGTTATTTGTGAGTAAGAAACTGATGCAATTTCTGCCCTCACATTACAACGAATTTTATGGATATGTGGCAACAAACCTACCCCAGGCTGTGAAGTTGTTGTGGTGTATATGTACTACATGCTGTGATGTGCAAAGGCCGAATGCATCTAGTGGAATTTATCATACCAAATCATAACATTGTGCTGGCAAATATGACATACATCTCCATAACCCTGTCATAGATAAGAGATTGTGAATGCAACCACTATTTTACAGTGAAAGTTTGTCTTCATTTTGTTACTTTGAGTGAGTGACTGTGTTAAAATGTAACGAACACTGGCAACATTTCAGCCATATCGTGACTATATGGCTGAAAATTTGCCAGTGTGACGTTACATTACATGATCTGAATTTATATCATGTCTGTACCATTTTGGAAGGTGGAAATCAGAGTGTTCGCCAAAGACATTCATGTTAACTGTACCAACCTATACTGAAGACGTGAAAATCACAAACTCAAGTCTGCTTGCATGTCGGTGGCAGCTTCGAACGAAGGGCAAGGTCCCCACCGGAATAGAAAAAGACAACAGTGATCTACTCACAGCGCTTTACGTTAGAGATTGGAAATGTTATTGTTCACGGCTGGGACATTTGGGGCTACATAATCAGAAATAAGGCACACACACGAGATTTCGAATGATTTATATCAGAGATGTTCACTTTGAGTGACCTGGTCGTGCAGTCGTGAACAAACAACTCGCGAAACAGTTCCACAAAATACGCCTCAAAAGGGAAACTGATGACACAACTGGATCATCCCAAATATGTCTAAATATGTGTCCGATAGTTTAAACGGACTTCATTTCACCACGCTTATCCTTTCACGTTAAAGCAAATTAAAAGGTGCGAAAGTGGCCTGGTGCGTCACGCTTATGGGGACCCTCGATCTATTGATCCGTAGTCGTACATTGTAAAATTTTATGGATTTTATAACATATGAAGAAGTCTATGCATATCTTATATAGAATGCCAACCGAATTTGGTCTTGTTTGGTTTAATAAGGGTTTGTAAATATCTCTCGCTCTGAGATTGCTTCAGTCCTGCCTTGTAGTATCAAAATGAATGACGTCTCGCGATTTTTTATGAATGAAAAAAGTAGTACTGGTGTGAAAGAGGTCACGGTTATCCAATCAAAACGAATAAAACAAGGTCAGCCTTTAACGACACACGTGTGACGTACGGATCTAGATTCTTACCACCTGTATCGTCATCACGTGGGTAATAAAATAAAAAAGATCTACTTTGGCTGCGGTCCCATTCTGATTCCATTCGGTGGAACTAGATTTGACAGATTTGGAAACAGGTTTTCCTATTGAGGTTGGAAAACACTGTTGTATGCTGGATTTGATTCATTTGAGTGCAATTAAGTGATGTATTGTAGAGAAGGTTAAATGTGGCGCTGTTCGAGTGAAGGTTCATCAGCCTCCACACACAAACTTTCAATGGGAGAGGTCGTAAAAACTCCAAGACAGAGCCTTAAGTGGTGTATCATGTCTACTTTTTTTTGTAAATTGCCTGTACAGGCTCTACCTTAGACATTGGAACCATAGTCTAGTCAGGAGCGTATTAACATTTTGTACAAGTAAAGGAGGGTTGTCTTACCCTTCCTCAACAAGTTGAGAGCCTTCGGGCACTTTGCCTTTAGATATAAGAATGTTAGATGAGTCAATTACGAGGCCACATAATTTGGCCTCCTCTACAACCTTAACAGGAGTACCATGTAAACATAAATCTGTATCCTTGTGAGGTCTATATTAACGACAAAAGTGAATACAGTTTGTTTTGGATTTTGAAAATTTCAAGCCATTTTCATTTTCCCATTTCTTTTATTCTGTTATAAGACAGAGCTGTAGCTATTTTATTCATATTCATTCTACTTTATTCGTACGGAATGTTGTATCGTCCCTGGAAAGTGATTCATCATCGCTATTATTTAACATTTTAGTTAGACTATTGATTTTGATGCTGAAAAGTGTGAGTGATAGTATGCTGCCTTGAGGGGCACGATCTAGACTACCAGTTGTTTGACTTTCATTTTTGTGGAAGCCTCGGTGGCTGAGTGGGTTAGATCCCTGACTTTGTGTGCTGGTGATTAGGTGCCTCACTCTGGCAATGCGGGTTCGAATCCCTTCAGCCATGGGAGCCATGTCAATTTACACTTGTCAGGGTGGAATATAACGTACGTTACCAAGTGACACCAACTGGACATTGGCATGATTTTTATAAAAAAATTCTTTAAAAATCATTCAAACAATATTGCGACTCCTCAGGGTGCAGGAAATCAAGGGCAGGGTGCTTCGTTCCATGAAATGTGTCTGGGGGAACACTAACGTCATTGTGCAGAAAACAACTATATTACAAACGAAGAGTGGATACATAACATGCAACAAATACTTGTATAATATAATATTCTCTTCCCCAAAGTTAACTATTACAGCAGTTAATAGATGTAGCTGTCCAGCAAAAGGGTAAGTCTACAATAACTTCGGTCACATACACCTAATAAGATTGCTAGAGTCAGCAAAAATCGTAATTACTTTGTTTGTCAAAGCAGGGTGTTTTCAATGACGATTAGTTGGTATCTTGTGCTGGACAGGCTAATTACTGGCCAACTCTGAAATACACAGAGTTGCCATATGACCACTAGTTTAAGGAAGATAATATACCCTATGATGTATCGCTGACAAAGTAAGAGTCTTGCTGATGTGGTCATTACATGGAAGATAGATAGACTGGATTTAAATACCCCTTACAGAGCCAGAATTAGAACTGCAAACATACGCCACGAAGCAAACTCTGGGTCACCACGACAACCCAGACACCCCTTAAATATGGAGGTGTTTTGCAGAGACGGCAGACAGACGGCAGACCGATACAAGCAGCATCACCAGCAACACAGTGAAAAGGTCCCGAGAGCCAGAGCCAGAAGTAGAACCATTTTGTACTTACAGAAATAAATCTTCGTTCCTGAACAACGAAATGTGTTTGTTACATAGAGATTGAGTATGATCTAGTGTTAAAAACATATGAAAGTGTTCAATGTTCTTTGTCATACACTATATGTTTTTCATATTTGTCAACCGAGACTTTATGATTAGGGTTTGACATATGAAATCCCTTATAAACTGGGATATAAATGGAGTGAGTGAGTTAAGATTTAACGTCACGTCGGCAATATTCCAGCCATATCGTGACGAGAAGTACATTAA